TCACAATGGAAATTGTAATGAATATTCAAATGCATAGTATCAAAGCGATTCAGCCTGCAAGATTGAAGATAATGAAGATTGTAATAAATACTTAGATGCACAGCATCACAACAATCCAATCTACAGGGTTAAAGATAATGGAAACTATACGAAATATTCAGGTATACAGTACTACAGCGATCCAATCTACAGGGTTGAAGATGATGGAAATTATATAAAATACTTAGATGTATAACACTATAGTGATCTAACCTATAGGGTTGAAGAGGGTAATGAAGTTCTAGCAGATGATTGCTATTTATTCTTATCTTCTTTCGACAATTCGAGAATCTCAGTTACAATATGATTTCCTCGATCTATTTTCGATTTTTCTCTTTTCGATCCCCATAAGCCCTATATCAATGGTAATGATGTGATATAAGCAATCGGCAGTGCTTTACGAATTAATCAAACTTTATATAGTTGAGGGTTACCTATAGAAAACCTTGAAGTTGAGAATACTTTAAATATAGTTTATAGGGAAACTACGAAACCTATTTGATTTAATAAAGATTTTTCTTTGTCTCAAAAATTTTCTTGCTATCCTCTCCCTATTTCTTCGACAATTTTCCGATTATCTATATCTACAATCTGATGAGTGTAATGATTATTGAATTATTGTTTTTATTTAATACCAGTTTTTATGGAATTTAATTTGTTTTGCTCACTAGTTCTGCTATTTTACAATATCTCAGCTCTCAATCTCATCTCCTTTCGATTTCGATATTCTTTCACTTACTTATAGTTCGTATAATATATTCTGTTTTGACAGATCAGTGTATATTACTAAGCATAGATCGATTGTCTTTCTTTTCGATTATTGTTTTCATACGATTTCGACTTCGATCTTCTTTGTCGATAATAGCTATACTGGCAATCAAGAGGGAGAGAGAGTATATAGGGAGCCGGAGGGTCTATAGGGATCCGAAGGCATTAAGTATAAAGAGCCGGAGATCCTAAAGGGAATTGGAGGCAATCCGAAATCATATATAGAGAAGGAGCGAATGATTATAGTAATAAGAGAATACATATTACTATACTTGGGGGAACATTTTGATATTCCATTATATAGGAGATAGTCCTATTATCTTTTATACTTCTTATAATAGAAACCAGCAAAATCAAGGTAATCAAGAGTATCATTATTAATCTTGTATTCCCTTTTGAATATATCCAAAAAGGAGAGGAAGAGTTGTAGGATATACTTTATAAAGAAGCGCTCTGACATTCCACTATATAGGAGAGGTGTATAATATCTTCTATACTCTTATAAAGGAAAGCAAGAATCAAGAAATCCTATATAATCAGGATAATTATATAGGAAACTGTATCCCAGTTTTTCTACTAAAAGGGAAGAGTTATAAAGATATAGGCTTTATAGGTCAATAGATATTGTACCACCAGTATGATTTTTATACCCTTAGAGAAGCATTTATATTAGATATTGGGTAATTCTAGAGGAGATGATTTTCTTTAAAAATTAGTGAAAACATTAATGTCTGGAAAAGATATTATTAATAATTAATACCTTCATTATCAATCACTTACTAATTCCAAAACACTTCCTAACAGCTTTTGAGATTTGACTTACTAATTCCAAAGTATTTCTTGAAGACTATTGAGATTAACACTATAACCTCAAAGCACTTTCCAATATACTCTGAAATCAACTCGCTAGCTTCAGAATACTTATTAGCGCCTTTCGAGATTTATTAAATAAGAGCAATCGGATACTGTATATACATCTTTACAATATAGATTATACTATTTAGTTTGATTGAGATTAACTATAGCATCAATTTACAATATAGCTTTCATAACCTTCCTATAGCTTTCGATAAGCTATATAGCTTCAGATATGCAATATTAGTATAGAGAAATGTTAGAAAAGATGCTTATATTGTATATCACACTATACTATATCAGGATTAGCCTGCATGTGACTCCGTCGAGTCCACACATATATATCGTATCGTTATGTAGAACTTAATAATATTAAGGCTTTTCCACCAACTTATATATGATCTTCTAACACCTTCTTTTATTTTTATAAAAAATGATTCGAAGATTCATTTTGGATATATTCGATTAGTTCGATTAGAATATAGTATATAAGGCTTCAATTAGTTTTCCTTTTTACTAGATTTCAATTTAATTGAAAAGGTATAGTAGTGAATAAAAAAGAAACTAAAAAAGCTATTATTTGTATCTACTTCTATTTATAAATTGAGATGTAAGCTGATAATATTTTGGGAGAGGGTAGATTTGATGAATTTTCGGGTATATATTGAGAAATTAGTGTACAAATTAAAGAATATGATTCAAGTTATAGAATTATTTATTATTTATTAATATATTGTTCAATTTTCAATAATAAATAATATGATATTGAATAAATATTAAATTTAATATAAAGTGATTGAAAAATGAGGGGGGTGCTATAAGCAGGGGCCAGAACTCTTACATAATGTGACGGAGGAGGATGAAAACAAACGAAAAGATGGAGAAGTTCTCGATGAATTGAATGCTTGAGAAATGAATGAATGAAAAAAGAAGAATAAAACTTGTGACGGCGGCAAAATGTATGAAGGTAACGATAAATTTGAAAGACATCAATATGGTAAGCTGGACAATGATCTTCCGGCTCTCCTCCCATATCCGTTGAAGCTTTTGAACTGTAACGGATCAAATACCATAAGTAGATAGATATGACCAAATATCTACCACCTGACAGAAGCTTGTCAAAAACAATTCCATAACTCAAGATTCACTAATCTAAAGGAAGATGTTTATGTACCTGGATCCCAAAAAGCTCTCCTGACCACGCAGTGCGAAATGGTAAATCTCACCATCATCCATTTTGATGTTTACTCTCTCCATACCCTTCAAATACCACGTGTGCCTTGTCTACACATTCTTCTTACATTTCTCACGGGACTACCACGTCGTATAAATATCTCTCCTCTCTTTACAACGTGTACAAGCAATCTCCAAACGGCACTTCAGAAAGAGAATGACGTGGCACTTTTGGCCAATGAAAGTTTTGCTTCGGTGATGAGATGGAGATATAACGCGAATTTCAAGCCGAGAGGATAAAAGCACTTGGTTTGTTGTTCTTGAGGGTTGTGTATAGAATTGAGAGATGGTAAGGACGGTAGTAATATAGAATATAGCAATTGATATAGAAGTGATAGGAGCGACGAGTTATTAGGAACCCGACATCAAATATGCTTAAACAACAATATCAACTTTCATCTGCCTCGTTCTCCCCCAACCCCCTCGGAAGTCTGTCCTCATACAACTAATCCGCTGATCTCTCTACAAACACATCTATCAAGCAAAAACCAGTCGGTACTCTCAATATCAATCCCATGTAGCAGCGGGAAATGTAGATTACACCCCCATTCCCGAGAAAGAAGAAAAGAGAAAAGAGAAGAGAGAGGAATACAATGTTTTATAATCCTCTCTTCGCGAGGAGTTCCCCAAGCCACTACCTTTCTACTGGAAAGGCCATGTATGCTCCAGCAAAGGACCTCTAAATCGATTCTGACCGGGTCGAAGTAGATGTCATTCAATCAAGATTGCAAGATCCATGAATCCAGCAAATGCACCATCTCCTCATGGAAGGAGAAGGAAATCCCTGAATCGAGATTCTCTTAGACAAGTTTCGATGTGTAATCCCTCCCTAGTCGCACTCGCTTCTATCAAACCACAGCAGATAAAACATTCTCCCTATCCCCTGACTTCCTCGCTATAAGAACGACACAAGAGAAACTGTTCCAAATTTAGTGATAGATCCCCAATATATTTTCTACAAGCTGGGCTCTCTTTTTCTCAACCTGTTTGTCACATTCTCTTCCCTCTTTCCTCCTCTCTCGTTCTTCCGACTCTAACATAACATACAAACATACAGTGATATTGAATACATGAAAACAGCAACAAAGTGATAGTAACGGTGCCATACAGTGGTAAAGAGTCACAATTTATAAGTAATCATCACAACAACAATACTGAAAACCCCAAGTACTAATGCCATCTTTCCACGACCACCATTTCCATCACCATTTCCAAGCCCACTCAAAGACTCCCAAGCCCATCCCCAAAAAACCACCCACCATCCTCCCATCACATTTCCATAAATCCTTAACAGTCTTCCCCATTCACGAACCCATTTCAAATCATCAAATACTCACTGACAGTTCTTTAAAAAAAAAAAAAATAAACCATCTGCACTAGCACTAGCACTGGCATTAACATTAGCAGCCCACAACAATCTACAACAAAGAGAAATGTGAGAAGCTATCTCCACTCTTACCTCTTTTCACTGAATCGGCATCACTCTCTCCCTCTCTTCAATAAATTAGCATCACTCTCCCTCTCCCTTCACCGACACGAGGACACCATAATAATCAGACTCGGCAACAATGAACTGCACTGCACAAAACCACAAACGTCTATAAAATCATCGATTGTATTGCTCATCAACCCCAGCAAGCACCCAAGAAACTTTTTTTACCCTACGACTCATATGTACTGTACAAAGGTTCTCTCTTCACCCTATGATTTTTCGACACCATTAAAAAAACATTCCTCTCCTCCATCCTCCAAAACCTGCTCTAACCAAAATTTCTCATTCGAGGAAGTTCGCTTATAAGAGTCTCCACTCGTGTCTTGTACTGAAAAAAATAGATGCTATATCCATTTCCTTCCTACCTTTTATTATCTCTCCCCGGCAAAAACAAGTCAATTGACCTGCTCCAAATGCCACATCGCAATTCTCGCACCAATCATTAAGGCTCAAGTCAATCGACTGTATATGTATGTACGTTTCACTCCCAATTCGTCCCAAAATGCCATTTGCAATGCCAGAGAAGAACCAAGTCAAGTTAAAAGGTACATGAAAAGCGAGTATCTTATTCGTTTTACGAGAGATACGTAACAAAAGAAATATTAAAAGAAGTCTAATGAGAGTGACCATCATGGTCTGAATGGTCATGTTGAGGCTCTACTGCCTGTGTCGAACAACATCCCTTTCCCTTGCAATTATCGATACATTCGAGTAAACATGAATCATCATCCTCCATCCCACATTTGGTTTGAACTTGACCATCTAATCCGACCGAACCATTAAAGATATGGTCATGATCTTTGTCAAGACAAAATTCGGGTTGAAGAGTTGCGCTGTGGATACCGTGGCCGTGTAAGCATTCTCGAATCTCCTTTGCCAATTGCATGTATTTTTCCCCGCCATCTTCTCCTATTGGGAAGGCAACTTGTATATGCATGGATGCAACAAGTTGGGAGTCACTAAGTTGCCAAATGTGGACATGATGACAACCCTTCACAGCGTCAAAGTTTTCGATATCTTCTTTGATAAGTGCGACATCAATCGAATCTGGTGTAGCTTGTAGTAGAATTTGAGCAGTAGCCTTGGTCAATGGAATGCAAGATCGAAGAATAATAATGGTAATGAAGAGTGATACAGCAGGATCAGCATATAAACGACCAGGCCAGTTAGTCAACCAGATAATCAAAGCAGTGACAATAACTCCAACATTTCCAAGAGCATCACCAATAACGTGAAGAATCATAGCATTCATTCCCATATCATCATGATTGTGGCCATGACCACCAGACTTCTTCTTGGATTTATTGTTGTGATTATGCGCCGCATGCTTAGATTGACGGCTCGAATGATGTTCGTGATGATGGCCTGCGTCGTCGTGATCATGGCTATGAGCATGAGTATCTGCGTGGTGGTCATGATTGTGTGAAAGGAGAGGACTATTTTCAGTCGGTGCTGGTCCAGATCTGGCATGGGTGTCGTCATCTGGTTCACTGGAATCCTCGCTTTCAATTCCATCTAATTGTGTTTTGCTTGCAGCGATGATATCTTGTCGGAAACTTGCCGGGTGAATGCTTAGGTTATCCAAACTAGAGAATTGGGACTTGCTCGTTCGTCTTCGATGAGAGTATTGCTTGGAACTTCTGCTTGGCGATCTAGTCATGATACTGCTGCAATCGCGAGCTGTCGAAGCATCTTCATCGGGTTTGGTAAATTGTACTTGTCGTTTGGCGGCAGCTTTTGCTACAACAGCTTCGGGAAAAACTTCGCCCGCATTTCCACTTCCTTCGTCAACCTCATCTCTATAAGTTTCGTAGTTGCTTTCGTGGGCATGACTATGACCATGCGCATGTCCTTCTTCCGCATCGGCGATTTCGTCGTGAGAATGTCCATCCCCTGGGCCATGAGAATGACCATGTCCACCTAATACGAAGAATCCAGCCAGATTCGATGCCAATCCCAACGATCCAACAACAAGTATAAGTTTTGGCTCACTAATCTCAGGTGGGTCGAAGAAACGTCCGACGGCTTCGAGAACAATGGATACGCAAAGCGCAATAAGGAAGACGGCGTTGAAAAAGGCGCCAAGGATTTCTGCTCTTAAAAACTACATAAGTTGTTAGTTTCCAGCCTTGGTAATGTAGCTTTCCGTTCGGCAAAGGTTGGGGTATATTGTGCGACGACTTACTCCGAAAGAATATTTATCCGTGGTATTTCTTCGCGCAGCTTTAACAGCCCACAGTCCAACCGCGAGAGAGATAATATCGTTCAGCTATGTAAATGTTAGTCTTCATACACTTCGTACCTTTTTCTCGGCTACTCACCATGTGAAAGGCATCTGCCATTAATGCCAATGATCCAACCCATAAACCAACGCCCAATTCTACGATGAAAAAGACGGCATCGATCAATAGCATGACCGAAATGCGTGTTGACTTTGACCACGCCATCTTTGAAGGATTTAAAGAGTGCGAACTCTTTTCTCTCTGTCTGTCTCTTTACCAGTGTGTTGTTGGGAGAAAGAAAGGACGGGAGAAAAGAGTGGGCGTATTTATTGAAGAAGTATGGATGTATTTGTAATCGTACAGCGTGAAGAGCTGGAGTTGGAATGAAAGGTGGCGTGGTACCCGATGATTTCGAGATGACGCCCCTCTCTCTTCAATACCTAGGTATCTTGTGGAGGTTATGATTGTTCTTGTGTCTCGCGATTTTTTTGTTTTTGAGATTTCTTGCTTGCCTGCTTGCGATTTCGGATCCTTACCAAGCCAAGCCGCTATCAAATGATTATGATTATGATTTTGTTTTTCAAGTAGTATGGGACAAGACAAGGTAAAGGTAATGTATTATTACGCAATTTATCTAATGCGTATCTAATGCGTGTTCCGTACCCAATAGTGCGGTTAATGCTGATCAATGAATACCAGCAGCTGTAATGAAATTTGGTATAAAAGAAAAAGGGGGAAATACGGTATGAATAATAGATTGGGATGGAGAATCGATATGGGATGGTCTGAATAAAAAGAGAAAAGAAAGATATCAAAAGAGTAAGTAAATCAATAAAAGTAACTACCTCGGCTCGAGTCTAGAGAGATCAATTGGGAACAGAAGAAAAGAAAATTTGTCAGAGAAGTCAGAAAAGTCAGAATTAGAAAAAAGTATAATTAATGATGTAAAACTTGAGTGAAGAGTCTGAAGACTCACTGCCTCAGTACTTTGCAGTATGAGTATATACCAGGACTAGGTACATACATATCTGGAGCAGGTACGGGCGTACACAGATCGCCGCCAAGATAAGAGACAATGGAGAACATCATTGGATGTCAACAAATGTCCATAACAACGTTTGGGTGCGAAATGCATGTGATAGGAGATCACGTGATCGTGAGATATCTTCCCGGTCTTGCATGTTTGTTGTTATGTGATGATAGTGGTGATGATAGCGGTGATGTTGGTGGTGATGACAGTGGCTGTTATTAGAGACTCATCGCATTTGTTTCCATAGCATAGTCGTAGGTTGAAATGTATCCAATCCAATCATGACTTGATTGTTCTGGCAAAACAATTGGAGTGAGCCGTAAGACAACAACAAAATATTACTCAAAGCATCTGCAATGTATCAAGAGCAATCCAATAGTCACGCACTTACTTGTTGGCAAGGTAGGTTTAATACATTTATAAGTCAAAGTGCCGTGAGAGCTGTCAGGTTTCTATTCGGTATTATGGTTCGCTACTTCTTCCCTTGCATAAACAACTTTAGAAAAGGAACGCCGTGCCGAAAACACTGCTCATCCGGATGCAGATATTCCCATCACAACCTCCGGGCATATTATAAATGTTTCACAGCTGGTGCTATTTGGCTACATATGCAGATTGAAATTATCCATCAATAATTTCCCATGAACAGTTTCCCATGTGCAATAGCATAGCATCAACTTTATGCTCATCTAACCCCCGTTATTCGGCACTTAGTGCCTAAGAGCAAAATCAGCCATGCTTCTCTCCTCCCCATATAGTTCAAGCACGTGCAATAGCGGGATGTTCTTGGCTGTTAATATACACCTCCCCGATTCCCCCGATACAGCGAAGTCAGATGGGCAGACTTATAATGATTTGCTCCAAGGAAATATTAGTCCGGAGAGTCCGAAGTAGAGGTCATTTATCCATCACATTTCGATGGTCCAGAGGTCAGCGAATGAACATGGCCACTTAATCAGACTTCAAATATTCCTTTATGATGTCCACAACAATCAAGAGCACAAGGAACGCTAGGAAAATCTAAGTCTAGTCAGTAACGCTCACTCAACGACAATACGCTTGAAGTTTACTCACAAAGAAGAATCCAACCCCGATGATAATGATTTCAAATCCTCCTGAAAGAGCTTTACCTCTCACAATAGCATTCTGATGTCTCCAACTTCTGATACTTCCTACCAATAACGTTGTTATTGCAGCACCTTGACATATACACGCCAGAGGTTTCCCAAGTACGAAGAACCCTATCAATGGATTTGGTGTGGGGGAATGCTGTAATCGGCTGGATATATATCAGTAAAATGATCGCGGTATGATTAAGCTGTATAGAAAACATACAATAGTTGTGCAACTGATACGCCTAGCATTGACAAGGCTAGTGAGGTTCTGAGATATGCTAAGAAAGTGCGTTCGAGAGCTGATAGAATTAGCCAATAAGTTCGTCTACAAAACGCTAAACGGGGAACATGTAGAGCAAACGATTATTTCTATACGGAAGCAAGAACTACTGAGTAAAGATGGTACAGAATGCCAAGGCTCAAGAAAAGAATTCTGACAGAAAACTTGATGTAGAGAGGACTGGAAGCAGATGGATGAAAATAAACTCCCAACTGATAGAAGTATTTCGGCCCTGGACGCCGGATTCTACAATAGGTAATATACCTTGTCATTGATAGACCGTGTGAACCATATTGAGAAAACGGATAAAAGGATACATACCGAGATGATCTCTACATGCAACATGGTCAACGGTCACACTGATTTGGTGTCTCCAAAACTTCGAGACATTAAAGACCAATTGACCAATACATCCATTGGGTGCTGTACTACCAGGACCCAATGCATGAGTAGATGAGGCGTGTGTATAATTCTGCCTGATGTGTTCCAATTCCGAAAGTTCAGTAGATTCCCATTGATCTCTTTCTCGTGAGGATAATTCGGGTGGGTCTTCGGGTTCTCCAATAGATTGATGTTGGTTTGATGTTTCAGCCATTATACTCGGAAGGCGTAAATGCAAGATGATATGCAGATATTAGAACAATTTATGGTAGTTACCTAAGTTTCACGAACTGTAGAGATCTTGCATAGGTGGAAAATAGACAGATTTAAAGAGGAAAGTTTCAGATTTGAAGATAGGATTACAGGTAGTTGATATTATACCTGAGTATTACTGTTAGTTGTAACTGAGTAAGTAATCCTGAAGCTGAGAAATAAAGCAAACTTTTTTCACTCCTGTCTTTCCGATGAGAGTACAAGTATCACTTGAGATGAAGTTTGAGGTGTAAAAGAGTATGTAAAAGTACGCTTCAAGATAACAATTGATAATGCCATCGCGGTGTGAGAGACATGATTCGGATTATCTGAAGCGGGCGAATTTCCGAGGAGTCCGAATACGTAATGAGAATGGATTTTCACTCCACTACGGCGCTAATTGAGAAGTAGTGTCACGTGATTTCCTTCTCAATGCTTCTAGAACTTATCCATAACTGGTTAGTCCAAGCGTTTGCCCGAGTATTCTCTCCACGTTGTTGTTGATTCAACTTCTTACGCTCGCACAGCCTCGACGTCGGCATATAAAATTCAGACAACAAAGCTACCATAACATTGAGATCTACGCAGAACTTATCCGTCGTGAGTATCAATACATTTCCGAGTGGTCAATATAATTTTCGGATCGTATCTATACATCCCCAAATCTACGATCGTGCTTATGGTACAAACGAAAGCTCATTGGAGGCGAGTCCGGGCCGCATGTCCGCTTTACAGATGCAGACGCATCTCAACAGAGTATTCATCGCCATGAGCTTTTCGAAGAAAGACGTGACAATACCACCTAAGTGAATACACTACATTACCTAGGCGAGATCTCTGCAGATTGCCTCCTGATATTCATTTCAAGCTGAAATTTTGGCGAGGATGGGTAGTATTTGCTCGAGTTGATAGAATCTCTTTACTGTTTTCTTTCTCCACCATGATTTCCTTCATTCTGCCAGTATAGCAAGGTGATTTCCGTTAGTGTCTCTCACGAAAACCATTGGAACAGCTCGTCTTACCTTCCTAAACTGTAAGAAAATCGCTGAGCCGGTCCGTTCATACCGTTGTTGCTATTGGATTGCCGATTATTTCTTGCCCAAGACTGAGCAAAATTATCATTGATCTGATAGAAGCTTATTCTCACAAGGACCATTCGCACCAGCAATCCCTTGCAAGGTGTGCAGGGTTGTAAGAATAGCACCAGCCTGTAGCAACCATTGTACCGAATCTAAATTGAATTCTATTTCAGCCATTTTCATGCATGGGACAAGTGTATCCATGTTATATTCGTAATATTTTATAACGTCTTATCTGATTCCCTGTGCGGTGCATGGGAAACTCATCCGCAGGGCACCGGCTATGAGGAATATTAATTGAAACCAGCTGATCGGGTGTCGGTTTCTGGGAAGATTGATACCGAGTTGATATGCAACGTTGGTTGCTTCTCGCGTACTACTCTAGCATTGAGCTCTATAAGACATCTCTTGGTTCCATTTCCATCTAGTCATTCTAACTCTTCTTTGATATCCGGAGGATTCATTGTTCATTAGACACGCGGCGCAACTTCTCTGCCTCGCCGCACGCTAGCATCAATCAATTCTTCATTCATTCGTTGATATCCCGAGAGCACTTTACTACACAATTTTCCGTTTTCATAAATCCCCTTCAATCGTTTAACTGAAACGCCAAAATGGCAGAATCACCAGAAAGTCAGATCTCGGATCCTATATTTGACAGGTTCGAAGAAGGGTCGGATATCCTTTCGAGTAGAGACACAATTGCAACACCAGATTCTGAAATCTCCCCTCCCGAAAGTCCTTTGGAAAAGCACGCTATACTTGATCCTCGAACAAAATCTCGTCAGTTGGCTGCGTCCTTGTCGCTCGAAGAGCAGGTAAAGTTCCTTTGTTTTGTTAACTGCACCCTACTGATGAACTTCTCAGGTCTCTCTACTAGTGGCTGCAGATTTCTGGAGATCAAAATCAATTCCTTCCAAAGGCATACCAGCATTCAAGACATCCGATGGCCCAAATGGTAAATATTCATGTTCTCCTAAGCATCCATAATCCCTCACATTCGTCCGTACAACACAATATTTCTTCATTCTTTCATCTCACATTAGTACTAACACCAACTATAGGTGCTCGTGGAGCCATTTTCAAGG